TTTTTTTTTTTTTTTTTTTTTTTAAATGAGTGAGAGAGAGCATGAGAGAGGAGAAGGTCAGAGGGAGAAGCAGACTCTCCAAGGAGCTGGGAGCCCGATGCGGGACTCAATCCTGGAAGTCCGGGATCATGACCTGAGCTGAAGGCAGTTGCTCAACCAACTCAGCCACCCAGGCGCCCCCCATTGTGGTATTTTTTAAAAGAAAACAATTCACGTGCTTGTTGAGGGCTGCAGACTACCACCAGTTTTGTAGAAGAGCTCTGAATTTTTACAAATTATGTATTTCATCCTTCAATAATTAGAGGTTTTTCTCTTTTAATACTATAATATCACACCCAGGTTTACTATAATTATTATAGCAATAAGACAGATTTTCAAAAAAGTAATGTTTTGTTTAAGCTTGGAATGAAATTTTAAAAGGCATTAACAAGGGCGCCTGGGTGGCTCAATGGGTTAAGCCTCTGCCTTCGGCTCAGGTCATGATCTCAGGGTCCTGGGATCAAGTCCCACATTGGGCTCTCTGCTCGTCAGGGACCCTGCTTCCTCCCTCCCTCTCTCTCTCTCTCTCTCTGCCTGCCTCTCTGCCTACTTGTGATTTCTCTCTGTCAAATAAATAAATAAAATCTTAAAAAAAAAAAAGCATTAACAAAGAGTTACCATGATCCAAACACTGAAGACCAAGAGAGCTCTCACCCTTCGTGAAAACATAAACTACAATGAATGAGAGCTCCTTTATGCCCACGTGCCTACACCCAGCACACCTTCCAACAGAAACCCATTTTCTACAACGTCTACTACTTTAAAGAAGAACTGCTCTGGCACTTTGACGAGTGTTGGTGTACAAAGGTCAACCAGTTCCAACTTGAAAACCCTTGTGGAAAATTTATTGTTGATTAAATGAATAGTTGTGGGGCGCCTGGGTGGCTCAGTGGGTTAAAGCCTCTGCCTTCGGCTCAGGTCATGATTCCAGGGTTCTGGGATCGAGCCCCGCGTCGGGCTCTCTGCTCAGCAGGGAGCCTGCTTCCTTGTCTCTCTCTGCCTGCCTCTCTTCCTGCCTCTCTGCCTACTTGTGATCTCTGTCTAATAAATAAATAAAATCTTTAATAAATAAATAAATAAATAAATAAATAAATAAATAAATAAATGAATAGTTGTGCTGACGTGGTTAACACTATGTCAAGTAATTAAGACGTGAAAAAAGAATCCTTTGGGGAAATTACTAGGGCAAAGTAAATACTCTAGAATGAAGTTGACAGGGGCGCCTGGGTGGCTCAGTGGGTTAAAGCCTCTGCCTTCGGCTCAGGTCATGATCCCAGGGTCCTGGGATCAAACCCCGAGTCGGGCTCTCTGCTCAGCAGGGAGCCTGCTTCCTCCTCTCTCTCTCCGCCTGCCTCTCTGCCTGCTTGTGATCTCTGTCTGTCAAATAAATAAATAAAATCTTAAAAAAAAAAAAAAAGAATGAAGTTGACAGTCATTGTTGAATGGGGGCGGGGAGTCGTTCCCTCTCCTTAGGCATTTTAACCCCAATTCAGGATTCACTTGTCCACAGACAGGCTCTATTCTCTCTCTCTCTCCAATCCTTTATCTATCTTCCCCCTATAAGACAACATATATATTTTTTAAAGCTCTTCTGTTTCTTATCACATGGGAACCTAACGACAAACCGTGTGAGATGCCTACAGACTAAAGTAAGTACGAGGTTGCCAATCAGATCCACCTTCTGCACAGGACCAGCCCTTCAAACAGGCGAGGCAGACAACAAAGAACAAGGGCTCCCTGAGTTCACCTAACACACACTACTGACATGAGTAAAGTCAGCCCTATGATTTATTCATCACTGATTTCCATTTCAAGTGAATTTGCAAAAATGCTCCTGTCAGAAAAATAACTACCAAAACTCAAATTGTCATCCTGCATCAAGGACATCTCCGAATGCAAGAGTGAACGCCTCCTCCTCAGCCTGCTTCGTCCCCACACAAACTGCTGGGACACAAATCACGCAGGGAGATCGCCAGCTGCCAGCGAATCGCACATTGTCAGACATCTCGTCCCATCACTAAACGGTACAATGGGCTCCTTAAGCACTAAAGCAACACAAACTTACTAGAATATGAAGATAAATTACTGGCATTTGCCTGGTTCTGATATTAAGATCTGTGATAATTAATTTTATGTGTCAATTTGGCTGAACCACAATGCCTAGATATTTGGTCCAATATTCTGGATATTTCTGAGAAGGTGTCTTTTGGATGATTAACATTTAAATCAGTGAACGTTGAATGAAAGCAGATTGCCCTCTGTAAGGCAGGTGATTCTCATCCAATCGGCTGAAGGCTTTAATAAAACAGAGGCGACCTTGACCGAACAAGGAAGGATTCTGCCAGCAGACATGACTCTGGAGCTGAACACTTCCCTAAGTCTCCAGCAACTGGTCTACTCCAAACCTACATCATCATGTGAGCCTGTCCCCCAAATCATCTCTCTCTCCATCTCCACACACACACACGCACATGCACGCACCCCATTTTGCTGTTTCTCCGGGGAACTCTGACCAACACATTATCCAAAAGAAAACAAGACTTTGCCTTTAAGTTTTTTAAGAAGGCACATGATTTGTTGAAGATCAATAATCAGTATTAACCAAATCAACGACGAGTGCTGCTAGTCAGATACCAGAATGTGGAAACTTGGTTCTTCACCAGTTTCATGTAATTTTCCTAAACGCTGATAAGAGGCACTGCTTTATCCACAAAAGAGAAAAGTAATTTGTTTAAAAAAAAAAAAAAAGTGCTTGAGACTAGAAGTCAAGATTCACATTTAAATGTTTATCAGCATCTTTGCAGATGTACAAAAGTAAGTCCGCACTTACACAGACACACACAAACTTGCACAGGTCCACATTCCTTAGAAAACTCGTGAAGAATAAAATAAAGGTGTAATTACTGACTGATTATCCTTAATAAATCATTACTGATTAATCTGCATTTGCATTACCTTTCTCAATTTCTCGTAGGAAATAACGGAGCTATAATAAGCTATATATTTGGTCTTCAGCCCTGGTTCCTGGCACAATGCTCCTAAAACCCTTGGGATCTCCTGAGTGAAAGCGGTGTCTTTGGTCATTCAGAAGGAGCCCCTGTGGAGCACACCAGAGCTAATGAGGTGACTCAGGGCCCCTAAATGGCCTCAGGACAGGGCTGGTCCCCAGAGAGACAAGCGATTAGAGGGCTGGAATCTTCAATCACAGACACCGAGCTCCTGGAAGGGGAGAAGGGCTCCATATTAGGCTCCATTAAAAACTCGTGAGCAGTAGGAGTTGAGCTTCCAGGCTGGTGAGTGCCTCCATGTGCCAGGAGGGTGACGCACTCCAGGTCCACTGGGACAGAAGCTCCTGCGCTTGCAGACTTTCCCCTACGTTACCTCTTCCTCTGGCCGTCCCTCTGAATCCTCTGTAAAACCCTCTATAAGAAATTGGTGAGTCCACTAAGTGTAAATAAATGTTTCTCTGCATTCCATGAGCCGCTCCAATAAATTAATCATATCTGAACAGAAGGTAGCAGGAATCTGCCGTTTACAACCGGTCACTCAGAAGTGCAGGGAACAACCCGGACTGGAGATCGGGGTCTGACGTGGGGCAGTCTTACAGGCCTGAACCCTCACCCCGTGCGGCCTGGTGCTACCTCCAGAGTGTTACGACTGAATCAAATTTATAGGCCACCCAGCCAGTGTCTATTGAGACCTGAAGACACGGGCTGAGGGGTCTATAAATTTAAACACACACACACACACACACACACACACACACACACACACACAGCTTATCAGAAGTGCTTTAATCTCAAGAAGGAGTGAACTGACAAATTTCTTCACATAAAAGAATCATCTGATCTTCAAAATGATAATTACTGGGGTTTATAAGGACTCCCACATATGAAGTTAGCACCACAAAAGTGTCTCTATCAACACAACCTTGGTTAAGATTCGCCTTTTACTGTTGCATAGCGAAAGAAAAGGAACATAGAGGAGAGAAGGACTTCCAGGTGGTAGGTGGAGACAGACACACGGATTTCTCAGGGAACCTAACAAATTTCAGTTCAGCATAGGCAGCTATCACTCTAGAAAGCCAACGCTTTGTAAGTCCACCGTATCTATCTGCAGCCATGGGCCTCAAAGCAGGGTCTCCAGTTCCACAACATCAACACCACCTGCAAAGATTCAGAAATGCACACCCTTGGGCCCCACCTCCAGACCTACTGAACCAATCTCTGGAAAAGGAAGCCAGCAATCTGTTTTAACAAGCTTTCCAGATAATTCTGATGCTCACTAAAGCCTGAGAACTAGTAACCTCCAGTAAAGTATATACCTTTTAATATAAAACAGAACTGAATCAGGAAATTCTAGAAATTCTGAGTGGCAAAATTTTCACAATACTATGGATCACATGATATTAATAGAATCCTTCTTTTTTACAAGTCATTTAATCAAAAATGCTTTCCCAATACTACATTACTGATAATATTTAAGATTTTTCCAATGATCTAAACTTTCCTGTCCATTCATTAAATGCTGCTTTGTGCTTACCAAGATAGAACAATATCAAGAATTTTTAGGAAGGATGAGGATACGCTCCCAGGCAAAACTTACAGGCTAAGTGTGCAATATTCTAAATTGTTAAGCTCTGAATGAAATTTTTTTAGTTCTTCCATCATATGGGACATAAAAGTTGTCAGTAAAAACCAAAAAAGCCAAAATGCATGTAATATTTCTACGAAGTTTTCACTTCCCTATATGAAAATTTGCCAGTGGGAACAAAATCCTGTCAAAGAGGCAACTCCTCAGCCAATTTAAGTCACATTAATTAGCATTCCTTTGTAGAGGGCAGATAAATACCTTTAAACTGCTTAATCATGCTCTGATGGTTTTCAATGGCTTCCTTTAGGATCATTTCAGGCTGGTCCATCTTCCACCGCCACTCGGTGCCCACTGGATTGGTGTGGTGCCTGAGAAGAGGAGGCAAGAGTTCTAAAGGACTCTGGAGTGACATCTCAGCCCGTCATCTACTATGTGGTAGCAGTAAAACCATAAAGTCACAGCAATGAAACCATAAAGTCATAACATCAGGGTTGGTTTCCCCCTAAGAGTTTAGCTGTTTAAAGCAGTGTTTTCTGGCTTAGCTCATGAGCTCTGGCAGAGAAGGTTAGTTGGAGAAGTGCCTGGCTGAGACTGAGGTTTAACAGGACAGTCAGAAATGCGCGACCTGTCCTCTCAGTCACCCACCACCAGGCTAACAAGCATCCATTAAATGCTAACAATATTCCTGGAAGAGGTCCAAAACCACAGTAACTGACCCTCTGAGAGGCAGCCCAGCTGAACACCTACAGCTTAGGATGGATGAGGCATGAGGAGAAAACTGTCACAGCAGCCCCCAGGCCACACGTCCGGCATCGCCTAATGGGATGTTAAAGCCAGTGGTAGAACGAGTTAGCACAGAAACAGCAAGTCTCAACTGGAGCCCAGCTCCAGACTCGATGAACCTCAACTCCGAAGAGAAAGGCCAAGCAGAAGGGAAAGGTGAACTGATTTCCAAACACAGAAACGCCGTGCACCTCAGTCTCTAACGTAATAGCTAAGAAGTCTGACTTTAAACAACAAAAATAGGAGGCACAGAAAAACAACACATTTCCAACAAAGCAGTCGGCAGAACCAAACTCCTGACACAAGTGCTTGAAGTATGTGACGGGGAATTTTTACAACAATCATTACTATGTTAAAAGCCCTAACAGAAAAGGTGGATAACATGGAAGATGAGATGCGTAAATTCAGCAGAGATGGAAATTTTAACAAAGAACATGTTAAATATGAAAAAACGGGCTTCTGACAGGTTCAGCAGTGACGTAACAGTAACAGCTGTAACAGCTGAGGACAAAGAGTTAAAAAAAAAAAAAAAAACTTGGAGACTGGTGCAAATCAGCCAACAAAAACACAAAGTTTTCTTTCTTAACAAAGTTTTCTTTCTTTCTTTCTTTCCCTTAAGGGAAAAAAGTGACACAGCATCCAAGAGCTGGGGGACAACAAGAATAGGCCCAAGATACACATACTTGGAATCCCAGAAGGAAAGCAGAGATAAAGAAGCAGAAGAAATAGTCAAAAAATAATCGCTAACAGTTTTTCACAGACAATGAAAAACCAACACAGATCCAAGAAGCTCACAGAACCACCAGGACATTTTAAAAATAAAAAACAACCTAAAAATACCATATCCAAATGATGAAAACAAAAGATATTGAGAAAATCTTTGAGTTAGAGGGAAAAAAGACACATTACATGAGAACGGAGATCAAAAATTACATGTGACAACTCATCAGAAAACAGCTGAAACGGCAACGACACATCTGAGAAGCATGCCTAACGGAAACAAAACTCATCAACCAGAATTCTACACCCAGTGAGAGTATCTTTCAGAAACGGAAAATTTTGCACACAAAATCCAAGAGACTTCCTTCTCAACAACCTACATTACAAGAGATGTTAAAGGGAATTGCTCAGACTAAAGAAACATACAGTAGACAGAAACCTGAATCTGTACGAAGAAATAATGAGCACTGGGAAAGGGGGCGGAAAAGGAAAAAATATTTACCTTTTTTACCCTTAATTGCCCTAAAAATAACTGACAGTGTAAGTAAAAAAGAGTGATGATGTACTGTGTGTTCATAACTTACGTAAAAGTTATGCCAACAAAAGCCAAAGATGGTCGAGGGGAATAATAAACACTGTTGTAAAATCCTGACACTACACATGCCGTGGTGTGTCATCTGAAGGTAGACTCTGGTTGACTGAAGATGTGCACTGTAAACCCCAGGAGAATCTCTAAAACACTTTAAAGGTTTATAAAGAGTAAGTCAAGACTGGGCATAAAATAAAACCATTTAAAATACTCAATTAACAAGAGAGCAGGCAGGACAATGAGAAACAACACAGAGACTAGAAAACAACAAATGTAAAATTTCATCGAACCATACTGACAATCAGTTTCAACACCAGTTAAAGGATATTATCAGGTTAAAACATAAGACCTGAAGAAAAAATAATGGGGGTGCCTGGGTGCTCTGTCAGTTAAGCGTCTGACTCTTGGTTTTGGCTCAGGTCATGATCTCAGCGTTGTGAGATCAAGCCCCACGTCAGGCTCAGTGCTCAGCCTGGAGTTGGCTTGGGGATTGTCTCTCTTGCTCCTTCCCCGACTCCCTTTCTCTTTCTCTCTCTCTAATAAATAAATAAATCTGAAAACACACACACACACACACACACACACCCTTAGACCTGACTATATGGGACCAGCATCACTCAAATACAAAACCACATTAAGATGTTATAAAGAAAACTGCAGACCTATACCTTCCATGAACAGAGACAGAAACCTAAAAAAGGAATACAAATAAAGACCCTAGGCAAACTGAATGCAGGAACACGTGAAAAAGAAAATGTGTCACAACCAGGTAATTTATCCCAGCAATAGCAAGGCAAAAATCAATCACTCTACAGAAGCATCTAATAAAATTCAACATCCATTTGTGACAAAAACTTACAGCAAATTAAAAATAAAAGGGAATTTCTTTAATTTTATGAAGGGGATAAAAAAAAAAAAAAAACCCTCACAGCTAATGTCAGAACTTAATGGTGAAAGAATGAATGTTTTCCTCTTAATATCTGAAACATTGTAAGAACGTCCTTTCTACTACTCCTAGACAACATGTAAATCCTAGTCAGTGAAATCCAGCCAGAAAAGGGAATAAAACTTTCTCTTCACAAATGACATGTTCATCTACATAAAAAAAAAAAACAGACTGGAACTAATGAGAACTAGTAAGGGAGCCTACCAAATGCCTAAGATATGTGATCAACACACAAAAATCAACTGTCTTTATTACACATAAGAATGTGTGGTATTGGCCAAAGAGAGACTCACAGATCAACAAGACAAACGAAACCAGAAACGCACCCAACATATGTTATCAACTGAGTTTTGACAAAGGCGCAAAGGCCATTCAAAGGAGAAAGAATAATCCGTTCGGTAAATGGTGCTAGAACAACCGATATCCAAAAGCTAGATCGAAAACAAAACAAAAACAAACCACTTCTGTCCCTACCTTGAACGTCCTCAGGAATAAGACAAACTGAAGTGTGCACACCCCGGTAGGTCTGATGTACTGAGAACACTACTGCTTCACACAAAATACCCATAATCTCATTCTAATTATGAAATGATATCAAATAGATAATGAAATGATATATTGAAAATATATCAAATATATAATGAAAATATATCAAATACAAATTGAGGAACCTTCTCCAAAATACCTGACCAGTATTTTTCAAAAGTGTCAAAACCATGAAAACAAGGAGAACTAAGGGACTGTCACAGGCTGGAGAAGACAGACACAGAGCAACTAGAAGCAACGTAGGGTACTAGAGTGGATCCTCGAACGGTTTAGAAAGAACAGTAATGGCAAATCTGGCAAAATCTCAACATCTCCAGTTTCATTAATAGTATTTTATCTGTTGCAATTGAGAAGAAATGTTAATTTCTTGGTTATCATAACTGTCCCACCATCAGGGAAGATATTAGCATTACAGAAAGGCGAATGAAGGGTATACCAGAACTCTCCACACAACCTGTCGCATAAGGAAAGGTTTTCTTCCCTTGCAACACTAACCCTCGTTGAAAACACAGGAAAGAAGTACTCATACTCAATACTGATTCACAACTTGATATAACTTGTGTCCAAAATAGGTAATAAAAATGCAAAACATTTGTACAGTGGAGTACTAATTACACAGCCAGCTACAACAACAAAAAAGACACCTATCTTGACAAGCACTGCGTAATGTATAAAATTGCTGAATCACTTGGGGCACCTGGTGACTGTTGGTTAAGCCTCTGACTCTTGATTTCGGCTCAGGTCATGATCTCGGGGTTGTGAGATCAAGTCCCACTACAGGCTCCATGCTGGGTATAGTGGCCTGCTTAGATTCTCTCTCTCCGTCCCCCTCTGCCCCCTCCCCCCATGATCACACTCTAAAAAAAAATTGTTGAATCATTATACTGTACACATGAAAGTCATACAATACTATACGTTCATCATACTTCAATTTTAAAAAAGAAAAAAATTATATTTAAAAAAATTAAACCCAACTTGACTATGGTCTTTTGTTGTTTGTTGATGCGTCGTTGTTTCATTGTTTTTCGATGCTGGGCTCTGGGTTTTTTGTTTGTTTCTTTGTTTGTTTGTTTTGTTTTAGGAGGGAGGGGAGAGTGCCTGGAGTGCTCCCCCCCCCCCCCCCCCCCCCCCCCCCCCCCCCCCGCAGTGCAGGCAGAGGGAGAGACAGAATCCTACGGAGGCTCCACCTCAGCACGGAGCCCCACACAGGGCTGGATCTCACCGCCCTGACATCACGATCTGAGCTCAAAGCAGGAGTCAGACACAACCAACTGAGCCACCCAGGTGCCCCGACTCCGGATTTTAATGTGCTCTTCAGGGTTTTACACCAGTACTAATGAGTGAAAGTGCACTGCAATTTTTGTTTTCCATGCTGTTCTCTGGGCTGGTATCAAGGTTATAGTAGTTTTTTAAAATTATTTTACAAGTGTTCCTTCTTCCTTTTGCTGTCTGGAGAACTCCTTTTCCTTGAATGTTTGCTAAAACTTACTTATAAAACCATCTACGTCTGGTTTCCTTCAGATAATGGTTTGTAACTACTGATTCCATTACTATAGTGATTACAGAAGTACTCAAAATGACATTCTTCTTGAAATCCTTTTGAAAATCTAAATTTACAAGGAATTTAGAAAATGGGAACAGGCTAATGATTTCCAGGGATTAGGAGCTGGGGGGACAAAAGAGTAGGTGTAGCTATCAAGAGGTAACAAAAAGGAAAAGGTCTGTATTTTGATTGTGGTTTTAGATATGCAATTCTAAATAGATGATACAATTGTACAGAGCTA